TCCTCGTCCTCCAAATTCTGCTGTATTCAGAGAGCTGGTAAGCGGAGAAAATGAAAATAAAAAGGAAAGAAAGGAGCAGTTCTGAGGGTCTACAGAGGAATCCAAGGGATTTGGAAAGCTAGTCCCGATTACATTCAGCAGAGGTTGAACATGTCTTAGGTGACTACGCATATCTCAGACACAACCTTTCCTTTTTCCACTTCTAAGCAAAAAGAGCAGTTATCCCAGTATCAATCACTGAGCTAAAAACTCACAGATCCTCAATACTCTAAGGTACTCCTAAAATCTCAAGACCTTCCCTTAATGCCCTATTTAAAAAACAAACTAAAGGCAGCACAGGATACCCAGGCAAAGCCATAATCCAGGATGGCCTTTTTACCTAGCAAATTATGTTTTATTAGCATTCTATTTCTTAATAGGGACCCCTCAAGGGTCGGGTTGTAGAGGATTCACTAGTATACCAGTTCAGTTTCCCTACGATTGACTTAATATAAGTGGCATCTGCCCTCCGACAAACATTATATTACCCATCTGGGCCAGAGGAGGAGGGGGAGTCAATGCAGGGAAACATTGCTCAAACAGCATGCTTGCATGATGATTAGGTCTGGTCCAGTGATCCGGAATAATAATCTGAAGGCTCACTAAGCATAATAGGTTCGGAAACATCCAAGCCTGGACAAACCTTCCCATGAGCATCCTTTACATGTGTTATCGGTGTGTTTTGCATGTCTCATCAGTGTCACAGCAGCTGACATCTCATTATGCAGCCAAGGTGGAAGTGGGCAGGTAGTGACTGAGCATTAGAACTTTTCTTCTTCCTTTTATTATTTAATTCATATCTTCCCATTATCCAGTGTACCATGAAACTGTGAACTAATTAAGTCCTGTGGGATATAAAGTCATTGCTGGATTTTTTTTCCCTTTTTTCCCCCCTTCTTTCAGTAGGTTAAACTGCATTATATACTGATTTAAAAATAATTCTGCAACTCTTCCTCAGCTAATAACGGAGCAAGGGGCAAACACTAACGATGCCAAATGAAACAGTGAGGCAGAGGCCTGCTGCTTACTTCGTATGACCTAATTAAGTCATATAGTGGTAAGCACTTCAAACACAAAGTCCGGTAAGGGCCTAAATCAGTTTCTAAAGAAACTCATAAAAATCCTTTTCTTGGAGATATTCAAGCACAGACCTGAACCAAGGAAAAGGCCGAGTTCTTAAAGTGAAATATCAATTTCAAGTGAATTCATCAATTTGCCATCTGAATCCCAGACAGCAGCTTGAAACTCTCAGACCTTTTGAGCATCTTTTAGACCGAGATCTGAACTCAGCTCAAACTATAGCCATGCAAGCAATGGCTTGGAGACCAGATCTGAAGGGATAAAACTTGAGGTGACAGGTACAGCCTCACCTTCAAGGGAAATATTTTCCTCAGCTGAGGATCATGCCTAAGAGTTTTCCAAGGAGTTCAGCTGAATAGCAAATTCAAGGAACTGGCCTATGAGAGAAGCATCTACATACACATGCAAGATGAAGAGGACAGCCAGCATTTTCAAAAATATCTTCTAATTTTGGGTGACAGCTGCAGCTCAAATTTCAAGCAAAAGTTGCTTGAAGTAAGAGGCAGAAGAACTTTGTTTCCTGAAAAATTAAACAGGCAGATCATCCAAAAATTAAAACATCTGAAGTTAAGCTCTTAATTTTCATTAAAATAGATCTTCATAAGCATTTATCAGGGACAAAAAAGTCAGAATAAAAAGAAATTAAAAAAAAAATGCAGCTATCAGGAGTCTGTATCTAGGTACAGTGAACCTCTACTACCTGGAGTTTACACGTATCCAGGACAATCAAAAACAGTTCAGAGAACTAACACCTCATTAATTCACTCAGAAAGAATGCATGTGGTGCTTACTCATCTCTGCAGATAATGTTGGTGTCCCTGGCTTCCACATGCATGTGCGATTTACACAGGCAGTGGGGGAACACCATGGGAATCCACATAATGTGTTTGGAACATGACCTGGAAAATGGAAGAATGGTCTGTCTGGCAGCATTTTGGTGTTTGAAACCCAGCTAGCCTGGCTAAGCCTGATTCCTGGATGAGTTACATTAGCTTTTTAATGCGATCTTCAGTAAATCTGATGTATAGATCAAGAGTGAATTCATGGACTAATCTAGTCACTATCCGGATGCTGTTCTGCAGATTCAGGCAACAGAAAAACGGGCTATTTCCAGCACAAAGCTCCTGCTAGTCAAAAAAGGCAGATCCAGCTGGCAGACGCATCTCTGCCACTTGCTGTGCACTAGGACCCTTGCATATGGATTTCTCTTCAATGTCCCTAGGTCTTATCTGTGACAAGGAATAACGGGCCTGCTTAAAAGCATTGTAGAAACATAGACTTGGAAGAGATCACCATGTCACTGCAGTTCAGTTCGCTACTACTGCAGGTATCATGTCACCTAATATCTCTCATACACCCACCACGCCCCCTTCCAAAGCTCTCTAGAGCCTTCTGCCTGGTATTCTCCCACTGGAGGTTTGCTGCAAAACCTCTTCGCACTCCTAGTCTGCATTCGTCTCATTTCCACCCCACACCTAGGCATGACGGCTTTATACCCAGATCTCAGCTGATCATGGTATTATCTTCTCTATTATATTAAGAATTAGCCTCACTTCCCATTTGGTGTTTTATAAGGGCAGAAGAAAATATATCCTCACCCTAAAGCTTGCACACCTTAGATTCAAGTTCCAAGAACCGACTTTTAGAGGTTTTTCGCTTTTCTGCTCTTAACCAAATTGAAACAGCTGATTGGTGTAGCTATATATGCTGACGGCAGATAAGGATCAAGCCCAGTCTTCACGAACTGCTTTGAGATCCTTACTTGAGAGTGCAACAGAAGTGCCAGGTGTTTTTATAAAGAGATGCAGTCCCATTACTTGTACGCAGAGTTGTGCTGCCTGTTAATAGCACCATTATGCTAAGGCACGTGGTGCTATTAATGCATTTCACTGCCTGATGCTGAACCTGGGGACCATTATTTCCACTGGAAAGGTAAGGCCAGTTCACATGACATGATTTAAACCTCTACAGTGAAGCATGTGTATGCTGCACCAAGTCGTAAATCTTAACAGGATGCTGTCAGCTAGAAAGGGACCAAAATTGAAACCATTTATCTGAACTCCCCACCCATCCACCTCTGTTCACCCAGGCCACTTTTGGGAAGGGGGATAAAATGATTCCAAATGCCCTCTGGGTTCATTAAGCAGAAGTCAGTCCCAAATCCGAAAGCGTTGCTGGTTTTGTCCCACTTTCCCTTCATTCATTCGTTCAGGACACCTAGAATTTCATGGATTTTCCCCACACTGTGTTGAGCAACCAGGGACAAACCTTACAACTTCGTCCTATTCTTGATCCCACCTGAGCCAAAAAGAAACCCCTGTCATCGTCTCCTTACCGAGACTGAGATACACCTGCACTGTTCAGACTGCAGCCAGCAGGAGGTGATGGGTCCTACATGTTGGGCTACATAGAGATGCCTTTAGCACATTTGGGAGTGAGAATTTACAGGAAAGGAGTAGTTGCCATTGGGTCCAGCCTAAACACTTCCCTTTGCTGGCCTCCTGAAGCGGCCATAACTAATAATTTTTTTGGTTTGGTTTTTTCCCCTTAGCTGTGCATGTTTCTGGTAACATAACTAGCAGTGCTAACTGGCAAACAAGCCCACAGAAAAGGAGTCAACCTACATTGTGCAGAGCACAAGAAAGCCAGGAAATTGTGAAGGTTGGTTGGCAGCAGTAATAGGGAAAAGGCTATATGTGACACTCCTTTACAGGTCAAGGACAGACTTGAAATATTTGATTTTTTTTTTTTAAATAGCAGAGTAGACGAAAGCAGTTGTGTTTTAGGAGACTCGGCTGCAGCGGTAACAGACATCTAAAATACACAGGGCAAATTCAGAGACTTTTGGCTGAGTAAAAACTTCAGAATTTGGTGCTAGAAACACACCAAAGTTACCTTGTCAGGACACTGTAGCAACTTCTGGGGTGGGGAGCAGGTAAGGAAACTTCACTGCAGATATCAGGGTTAAAAATTACCACAACATCTTTAACGTCAATCCCGAGCAAACAAGACTTCAGTTTGCTAGGTCTCATCCATACTAAGACGACTGCATGATAATTTGCCTTACTAGGTAAAGGACAGCATTTATTCTGATAAGCCAGGTGTCTAACTCATCCCACCGGTGTTGTCGTTTGTACAATCCGGCCACACCAACGTCCCAGGAGTTGCTCATTCAGAAGAGAGCGGTGACAAAGGACTATATGGTACTCACCAAATATCTCCCCCTCCACCTTGAATTCTGTGTCACAAGTGGCACACCCCAAAAGCTCTGCAACACCCCCAAAACTCTAAAAGGACGTTTTGGGTTGGCAGTGAACATTTTTAGACATTGAGCCTTAAAATGATGATAGTCAAGAGTCATAATTTTTTTACACAATAAATTTTGCTGTTGTCTTTTTCCTTGCGATACCCACACATAGCCCTGGAGAGACTGTCCCATTTTGTTTCGGATGCTGAAGAGGAGTAAAAAAAGAAATATAACCATAGCTGAACCAGCGGTGAATGCTAAGTCTCTGCAGGAGAGCTGAAACTCTGTATCTCAAGGCTAACACATCCGATCAAGTGACACGGGTAATAGAAAATAGCACTTTGGAACAGAATTTGCATGCATGTAAGAAGCAAAGTGTTAAAAAAGACATACATCCTTCAGAAAATAAGGTAAAGCTCATTTAGTCTCAAAATACATGATTAACCATAGTTAACCATTAATTCAGCTGCACTGCATTAGAACTGCTATTCAAAGTTGGAAAGCATTTAATATTATATATTGCTGCTGCTCAGCTAAATTGTTTTTTTTTTTTTTGCCCCCTTTAAATGTACACAATATTACAAATTTAATTTTAAGCTGTTTGAATCAGTCTGTAAAAAAGATTTGATTATACCTGAGTGTTCTGGCCCCAGTTTTTCCATATCTCAGTAATCTTGGCGGTAATTGGCTGATTAGCTCCCTCACACTCCATCTCTGCCTCAGTTTCCATGGTAATGTTACAGGAGCTATTATAGATGAGAACTTCATCTCTTTCCACTTTAGGGCTGAAACGAGAAGGGAGGTTAAATGGGGTGTCATCAATCTTAATGAAATGCAATTATTTTTACTCTTATTAATCATTGCAAGCCATTAGCTTGTGGCAACTCCTGGCCACCATTTGTCAAACTTTGCAAATTTCTGTAATTTTGTTTCCATTCTTTTATTGTTTATTTGTTTTTCCCCCCTTTATCTGCACACACTCATGATGAAAATACATGCAGTAAATATCTCTCAGTGATGCCTTTCTGCTTCCCCAAACTATTACAAATAGTAGCAAATGCCATTCCAGGACCAAGCCAGGAAGATAAGTGCAGACAACAGCTAGGCAACCAGCAGTGTTAGGATCAAAGATGGACTCCTACAAGGAGTAGCGTTTGTTCGTGTCTCCCCCCTCCCCATCTTACTCACACTTAGCAATGGGGAATGAATAACTTGCAACTCCCTTAGGGCAAGTGGAGAAATTGGAAAAACCACACAACTGGCTAACTGGTCCCTAATTCCAACTGTGAAAAAATGAGCTCATTTAGGGGTTGCAATTCCTGCTACCCAGCTGATTGCAATGATGCTTTGTTGCTAGCATTGGAACATTAACTTAGTAAATTAATTAAACTTACTTAACAGCCCAGACTAAGCAGATTCGATATATGTGCCAGTTATACTAACAGACGTTTGCTCTAAAGTCTCCCATTGCATAGGGGGAAGAAGTAATGACAAGGTGGTGGGGAAGAGGTATTTTTATGGAGTCTTGCTGCTGACAGCTGCTGATCCATCTATAGGATCCAAAGTCCCTCAAAGTGAATGGAAAGCTTCCTCCTATACACCAACACTCCTTGGATCAGTCCAGGATAATCCAGCGTCACTTCACTTTCATTCCTGCCCCTCCCATTCTTTCTTCTTCCTCCTCCCCCCATATGCACCTTGTAGGAAGGAGAGCAAAGAGGGGGTAGCTTACAGCAACATAGGCGTAATTCAGAATTTGTTCCACTTGTTCTGAGTAACTATGAAAGGATCGACTTCGTAAGGGGATTTACTCACCAAAATAGAAGATCAGATAGGTAGGATGAAGATTTTCAAAGGTCTTGAGGTTCCTGGAAAATCCCATCTAACAGGATTTTCAGAAGTGCTTAAGTAAACTAGGTGCCTAAGTTCTATCAAGATCAGCCCAGTCGGAAACCCAATCCTCAAAGCCCTCTTGGGAGCACAACGATCACGGTGGTTTGATAAATCTGGAGTCTGCAAACTGTGCTGGATGTGATAGCTCACTGTACAAATAAGGAGTTACTCTGAGAAAGCGTTTAGGGAGTATTTATTTTGTTGCCCTTTTTCAGCGCAATTGGAGTTTAACATGCTAAAGGAAGAAGCCACATTAGCAACAACAACAAAAAAAACCCTTCTGCAAGTAGCTGAACCTTTTTAATAGTGAATTTTTATCTGCATATTTAAACCAACCTTTCCCTCTACTGCATCAGTAGTTAAAAGCCAGCTGTAGGGAACTGCATGTGCTTTTGATAGCAACTCTTTGAGAACTGCTCTTGTCCCGTACGATAATTCAACGGACTGGGACATCTTTCAAGAATGCATATTACATTTTTTTTTTTAATGTTGCAAGAAAATGGTGCATCGTTTAAATAGCTGACTGTTTTAAAGGGAGCTGTCGTTTGTCCTTAGCTAAATGCAGAGCAAGGGCCCGCTTTGCCAGGCCTTGAAGTCTACGGAGGGATCTCCCTAAGTGGTCATTCAGGTCTCTTTAGAAAAAGTTAATGTGTTTTACTTGAAGGCAAAGTGCCAACTCTTCCCTGTCCTGTAGTAACCGCATCTGAAACCCGGATGCTGGAAAACTGTTAATGAATTGCAGTGTTCAAGGAAATGCAAAAAGAGAAGGGCTGACTTGTAAAAGGGAATTCAGGGACATAGCCTGGTACTAGTAATGTCAATGGTAACACTTGCATCCCTCCTAAGGAACGTACATTTCACGCTGTGTTCATAAAGCATTGCCTGTAGTACAGGCTAGATTAGCAGAAGCTTCATTCAAATCAGTATAAAATTAGTAAGAAAGAACAGGAAAGATCTAACGTGCAGTTAAGCCAGGGAGGATGTTCAAATTTTAGTACCCTGGGACAATGTTTTCAACTCTTCAACATTTACACGGAACTCAAATCTAAATCTTTTATATTGTCATTATTATTATTAATAGAGTAATCTGTGCGTATTATTTCAGGAATTCCAAAACAGTTTATTTCTTGTTTGATCTTTAAAATTTTCTATGATTTTGTTACAAATTCCATTAATATTTTGAAATAATTTTTTTTTGACTGGAATTTGAAAAAAAAATACTTTAGAAAGCTCTGAAATGGGTCCTTCTGATGATTTCAAATTTCCTCTTCCTCTCCTTCCCCTCAAATTTTTCAGACAAGGAGATTCACCTGAGATCAGCCCATCTCTCCCTCTCCCCTTTTCAGGGGGGCCCAGTTGAGAAATAGATTCACCAGAAAAAATATCATTCCACTGGAAAATTCCTTAGCAGCCCAAATTTTAATTCCTAAGTGTTAGAGGACTATGAGCACAATGGGAAAAGTTAGTGACGGCAATAAAAAGGTTGGAGAAGTTGGCAGAATGGGGGAAAACAAGTAAGAAAAACTTTCCTAAAGATGAAATGTACTTCATTTAGAAATATTGCCCTGCAGCTGAACAAATGGTGAACCCTGTCTCTGAGGGTATTTACAATTAAATTGGACAAAAACCACAATGAAGAGCAATGAAGAGGTAGACAGCAAACAGACTGCAGGACTCGGTCTTTCTTTTTTGTTTTTTTTCCTCTCCTTTGCATGTTCCATGCAAAGTGCCCAGGCACAGACATCCCTCCCCGCTCGCCCTGCCGACACCAGAAGCAGCTATGGTGGCAGAACCAGAGCAGCACAAACAAGAAAACAGAACTATTGAGATCAGTTTAATTTCAAGTTTTTTGTTTGTTTGTTTTCCCCTTCTAGGTCTCCCTGTTACTGTCTCCCCCTGTAAAACTGTCCTCCCTATCTTCTAGGATGCATCTTCTCTGCAGCTACACTGAAGTACCTGGACCGTACTGATCTGCACCAGTCAAGAACATGTTCAATATCTCATTGCGGTGATACCCCAATTTTCTATTTGTTTAAGGAGAAGATAAGTCTCCTTTGGAAAGTTTTACTCATCTGTTTATTCCTTAATTCAAACCTCCCTCTTCTTCCTAAAAGTAAACGCTCTGCAGGTATAAATCCCCATAGCTCTATTAAAGGCAACGGTACCAATTTACGCTCTCAGGCAACTTGGCCTTGGGTTTACAAAACCTGCACCTTGAGTAACTGCCTGAGCACCCGTGCTGAGTAAATATAGCACAGCCTGCTGAATTTTCTCCGTGACTTTCTACTCAAGAAACTGCTTGGAGAGAGGAAAGAGGAAAAAAAAAAAAAACACTCTTCTGCTTTTCATAATGCCTAATCTTTTTCCCCATTGGCATCCACCAGATGTTGCTTTGGATCAGAAGATAAATATTAAAACCTAAGAAGGAACAAAGCAGGCTGTTTACGAGATGGATTTTCTGATGTCTCTCAAACACTTTAAAAAGATGGGAGGAAGGGGAGGGGAGGGACACTAGAGATGCTTTGATAGACGCAAGGAATGAATTTCACAACCCAGCGGAGCGCTCTAGCGGTCTCAAGGCCAAATTGCTCCACTGGCATCAACTTAAGAATTAGAAATTTGCTCTATCGTCAGTATATCATCCGGTATGAGCCAATTTTGCAAAAGGCGAAATACCTTCTGGGAGGATATTGCTCACACTTGGGCCCACATAGCTGCTAAACAGCACTAACCTGACAAAGAGTCCAACAAAACGCCTCCAGGATGGGTTGATTCCCCCCTGGGACCGCTGAGGCTGGCCGTCGTGGCACAGGTACAAGTAAGATACAGACTGCCTCTGGCGGTAGGAAGCCACCATGACCTGGACGTCACATTTGATGAAGGTGGCCCCAGCTTCTCGGCAGTCAACCGCAGGGTGCGTCAAGCCACAAAGAACGGCCAAAGATGCTGCAGAAATAAAAGGGGAAAAGTAATCTGGAGAAGTCTACACACCATGAAAGTTACGCAGATTTTGGTTACTGATAGTTATTACTGTGGATTCGTTGTTTGGTACATCTTTCCTAAGAATGAATAGGTCTCCATCCAACTTCTTCATCCCCTATTGCTCTGTGTGTGCAAGCATATGCCTTCCCTCATGTGACAACCATCTAGATGGCCACTACGATCAAATAGCCCATTATGGGAAGAGATAACAGGCACAAGGTCTTGCAGCAGGGAACTCTGACTGCTTCTATGCTCTAGCCTGGCTTTTGAAATCCACAAACAGGTTTAGTGAGAGCGTTGCCACAGCTTGCGGAGCTTCTTCTAGGGATGATCTGGGAGATCTTGCTTTGTACCTGACTGTGACTAGAGATTTGGTCAGATTTTGACTCCATAGGTGTGGTAGGAGGTGTGAAGGGAGCAGATGCTTTGCTTTGAGATGTATTTAAGGGACAAGTTGTGTTAACAGAAGTTGGATTTTCTTATTCTAAATCCAGATGAAAAACCTAACAAAAAATTATGAACTGTCACTCTGAATTTCAGATAAGTTGAAATTTTTGGGAGAGGAGAGAGGAAATAAGGAAAAGGAAAAGAAAAGCTTTAAACATTAAACCATGCCAGAGATCAAGACTGCTTCACTAAAAAACCCTGAGCATGTAAACACTTCTGGACAATTTTCTTTAATGCTGAACTAATCAAACAGTTGTAATGAACTACTGAAAGGGTTTGTGGACAATATTACAGTCTGCACTGTAGTAGTGAAGAGCGTACATCAAGTATCAGTAGAGCAGTCAAGAGGAATTTTTCAAAAAGGGATTTGCTTTGTTTGTTTGTTTTTAAATTCTAGTTTGCTCCAAAGGTTTCTTGTTTGCTGGGAAACTGTCATTGTCAATGAATGTCTTATCTCCTAAGCAATGCTGGAAATGCATTTTGAAATGGTAAAAATATGAAATTGCTATATTACCTGTGTTAAAATAGTTAGGGTTTTGGCTAGAAATGATTATTTTATTTTCAGATATTTATAGGGTGTTTTTGAAATGTTTTTATCTACTTAATGTTTACAGTATCTTTCAAATGGTAAAACCTCGCATTTCATCTGCTCTAAACTGCAGAGTGAAAGTTCACAATATTTGCAATAATGCTTTTGTCTGGATTTAGAATGAGAAAAAGTTACCCACATCTTCACATTTTTTTGTGATATGCTAAATCTTTTTCCTTCCCAAACCCAGTCATGACTGGCTTGTTCAGCATCTATTCAAACACAGCAAAATACAGTCCCTGCCTTAAAGATCTCATAGCCTACATACGAGAGAGACAGAAACAATATACAGAAAAGCCTACAAGAATGATGGAGCCGTGCCTATATTTTACTTTTATTGTCCAGAAACGGTGTCTAGAGAAACCAGAGATGTTCTATACTTGTCTCCTATTTTCCTGAAGGCCACGCTTCCATTCCCTTTGACATTTCAATGGCACTAGATACCTGTGTTTTAGCAAATGAATACCAATCAAAATACTACAAACAACTTGCCTCTACAACATTTTTACCTCTGCCAGAACCAATTGTAGGATTATCTCCAAAGGATATGGGATGTATGCTTTTTTTTTAGCCATTGGATATGGGACTGCAAACTTGTCAAAACTAGGAAAGATGACGGAGCCCAAAGCAGTCAGGGCACTAGCTTTTCCCTCCTCTGAAAGTCCATAAATTTACCATGGGCAGAAGGGGAATTTGTTCCCCTTGCGTAAAAGAGTGTAGAAACTCCTTCTGCCTTACTGGTGACATGAAAGGCTTTAATATGCTCAGATGTGGTAACGAAGACCACACAACTGCTTTTGATGAATAAGCAACTAGCACAATATTAAAGGAAGATTACATTCACATTCCACAGTTTTTAAGAAAAACAACAGGTTGGTGAACTAATCAAAAGAGGTACTGGGTATTTCTTTTGCAGTCTTGAATACATCCTGACAGTTTTCTTGTGTCCCTACAAGAAAAACAGCTGAACCCGGTTCTGGGATGAACGACCCACAGAATCTCAGGATCCAGATATTTTCCTTACTACCCTGCTGCTGTCAAAGAACTTGCCTAGTTAACGTAGGTCACTAGAAGATATTTCCTGTACAGCCCTCAGAGCTCAGCAGAAGAACAGCCCTTGAATACCCTGGAAATGTTATCTGGTAACTAAGCGTTTCTGAAGGGCTCCAGTGCCCTCATCTCGGCATTACCACACCTGCAGAAATATAAAGCCTTGTGTTTTGCCAGCTGCTGAAACCATTTTTAACTCAAATCAGGCAAATGAAGGTATTCATTTTTTTAATCTTAACTAAACGTCACAGTTGCAAAGGGTTGTGAAGAGATCAGATCAAAGTGCGAGAAGCCCCAAAATCAAACCTAAAACCACTTTCTCCCTCTCTGGCTGTAGGAGAGAGGGACCTCGTTTCCACATGCTCCCGTCCATCTGATGAAGATACCTTGGAGAGGCTCCAAATCTTATCCCTTCCTTGGGGATCTCTGGGATTCTGTTCTCCCCTTGCTCCCAGAGGATGTCGTAATCCTTTGCTCAGTAAGTTCTGACCTTTTATCCCCCTTCCTCCAACCATTAAATGCTAATATCCCAGGTGCGTATAAAGGTGCCGTTATCTCCTGCCACAACAGTGAAAAATATCAGCTTCTTTACACACTTTATGTTCGCTATAAGGATAGAACCTGCTAATCACACTTGATACAATCCCACCACTCAGAGTAATGCTTTCAGCCCGTTACAGCTGCTCTTTCGAGATCAGACAGAGTGACAGCCCAATCTCTGCATATTGGTAATGGGCTAGGGACTGCCTGCCCCCAACCCTGTCTTTGAGGGATACTGCGCCTTAAGTCAGGATCCTGGGATGTTCAGCACAAGAGCTTTGTCCAGGTCACTGTTTAATAACAGCAGTCGGATGTGTGATGAGACTAAAACCTACCAGAGTTCCAAGGGCGGCTGCCGATTTACTGAACAACAGCCCAAGGTGCCAAGCCGTGCATTCCCGGTTACTTAACAGCTGCAAAGCATATCATTAACATGTGCTTAGCAGAGAAGACAAAGGTTAGAAGAAAGGAGAGGGAGAGGAAAAAAAAAAAGAAACTTGTTAAGGTCATGAAGTCCAACCTCTGCCTATGAAGAATTGCTTCCTATGAGACATTCATTTTGCGCAGCTGAGTTTTAGAAGTCCCAAGAGGTGATATGGCAAGCATCTATTCCACCGCCTGATAGGTCTCACTGTCAGAATGCTCCTGCCTTGTAATCAATATTTCTCTCTCTCTCTCTTTCAGTTCTGGATTTGAAAGACAGAAGAGACCATTTGGATCCTTAGGTTTGGTCTCCACAATAAGCATTAGAGGCCCTAGCTGCTATTCAGATCCCAATGGCCACAGCACGTCCCCTTCAGGTCTTCTCCACTCACTCATACAAATCAGCCAGTTTCCCTGGTTTCATCCTCTCTTGGTCCTAACTCACTGCATCTCCTTGGTGTATTTGCACCTCTATATCCAAAGCACATTCCTCCCTCTCCTGCTACCCCATAAAAAATGTTGGGCCAAGCTTCCTTTTAAACCAGCCTCATTTCATTTTTAGCTCTTAATCTAAATCCTTTTCCCTAAACATCCACTTTTACCAATGTAATCTGGATAACAGCAGGTCCAGGATTTGCTTACAAAGATCCCAAGTGCTGTAACTCCAAAAGCCTAAAAGCAGGCCTGTTATTCCAAGCATACTGATGAAGGTGGCCAAATCACACTGAGCTTTTTCCCTGATGGATCTCTTCATCAGTTCACTTCCTTTTAAAGGCGTCTTCCTTGCCCTACCCTCAATGTCAAACATATAATATTCAGTACTGACTTACTGTAAAACATATATACAGTGCTTACCCTAATACTGCCCAATAGGAATTTTCAGCTATTTTCTCACCAGCCTAAAGCTTCTTGCTAGTCTTTCCATCTTTCACAGGGGCACAATTCAATCCCACAGATATTAGCTGTGTGTTCTGTAAATTTAACCTGGGCTAAACAGAATCCACAGCTGTATTTGCACTAATCAACAGCACTACAACAACAGTAACAAAGAAAGAACAAGAGAGAGGTAGAGCTCTTGGGATCAAGCCAGTTACCTCTATACCAGAGTTTTTACAGCTAGTGGATTTTTTTTTTTTTTCCTTGAAAGGAGTCTGGTTTTGTAAATTTTACCATCAATTTTTTAAGCTTTAGGGATGAAATTGAAGTTGAAACTCTGTTTTGATTGTTCTGCAGGTTGGAAAAGACAACAATTTTTGTAGAATTCTTTCAGTTTGCGTTCCTTTTCAGTATTGAGTGCACCTAGGTCTTTCTTGTCAATGATCAAACCAAACCCTTGCTGCAGCTCCCCTCAACAGCCATTCCTGAGGACAACCCCATGGGGCAGACTCATGAGTGGATCCTACTGAGACCTGTGGTTCTTAGAAAATACTGCCATTAAAGGGGAAGAAGTCACATTCCCTGTGTACAAAGCCTTGTCCCACAGACTGGATCCCATGAGCAGCCTAGATGGACTGATTGGGGGTTCCTACGGAAATATCTCTAATCTTAATAGGCCAGACACAGCATGACCTAGTGCTGAAATCCCAGGGCGGCGAGCTGCCACCTGACCTCCAAAAGTGCTGGAGGGGAAGCGTTTCCGCTTAAAGGCGTGATGCAACAGAAGAAATGCATCTTGAACACGTCTCATCACCCAGGACGTGAGCAACACCAGGAAATATCAAATGGTGTCCAACCTGCCCACACCAACTCCTGCACTGAAGGATCCCATGGACCTGTCGTCCTTCACAGCTTGTGTTCCTGCATCCCCCAAGTCACTGAACGACCTTTCCCAAATGGACATGCTGGCAAAGGAAAGGTCTGAGCACTAAATGTCCAAGTCAGAAGCAGCAAACTTCCCTGGGCAAACAGCAACAGGTAAGCTGCAAGGTTAGACTGGACTAACAGCATTTAAGAAATCCAGTCATCTCCTAAATATTGAGGATGTGTAGTCCCTTAAATATACGTGGCATAGAAATACCCACACAGGCTGAAAAGCAGGCTGTTCTTTACACAAATTCATAACACAGCTTTTGTAGATGAGTGTCACATATAGAAATATGCCAAATATGCCTATCTCAGGAGTGCAAATAGCATGACAAAGACTTTATAAGAACACCTGTAGGGCATTTTTTTAAAACACAAAAATAACATTGTCCTGTAAATATATCTTTGAGTGACATAAGAGAAACGCTTTTGCAACTGGACTGCTGAGTTTGGCAAAGTTGCCTACACACAAATTTGCGCTCTGTGAAATCTGTGACAGGAGGGAAAAAGGTTGTCTTGTAACTGGACCTGTAGTACTCAAAGCAATAGCGTGTGTCCCGGTTTGGTTAGCAAGGTGACCCATCCCGTGCAGAGATGCGACCAGGGAGCCGGAGCAATCAGCATTCGCTTGCTGACATCTAGTGTCAGTAATAAGCATTGTGGCTCTGCCTGTAAAATGTTTTTCCCCAGGCTCCCTCCGCTGCCTACCACTCAGTGAATTTTGAACACAGTTATTAATGTTTTCACAGTTTGGATCAATTTGATTACATTTTATCCCGTTATTCTTCCTGTAATAACCAGCGTGCTCTAGTTTATGTTCTGATTTTTTGTTTCTTTTGCAGCATTCCAGGGCCATGCCTTTTTTTATTCTTTAACAATAATCACCATCACCATCATCATCGGTTCTCTGGACTGTGCCCAGACCCTTTTCTAAAAAAGGAAACTCAGCCCTTACAGCCTCTCGGGTACTTCCTGTCTGAGCACTGCAGGTTTGGGAGCCTTCCTCCCTCCCCGTCCCACCATCTTTCCTGATATTCCTCATGGATGAGGAAGGGAACCGTTCAAAATGACAAAAGTAAATTTAGAATTTTAGAGTAAATTAGGCTGGAAAGGACCCCTGGAAGTCTGTATTGCAAACCCTTACATAAAGCAATGCTAACTATGATGTTGGATTGGTTTCTCAGCAACTTATCTAGTCAATTTTTGAATATTTCCAAGGATGGAGGGAGATCCCACACCTTTTTGGGCAAAATCCTGGCAATTTATCATGACAGATACTCTCATAGCCTCCCTCCTTCCAGGCCCACAAAGGAGAAAAGGCCATAGATCTTTGGTCACCTGTATGACCGTAGAACTGTAAGGATTTCTGTAGTTTTCAGGATGTTTTCTTATCTTCAGAGCTAGGCAGGGACTAAAGCATTACGCTCTCAAGTGTTGCCTTGCCACAGCACCACAGCAGGCAGGAAGGCTCTGAAAATAGCATTTGGGGAATGGTATATTTCTCAGGGAGAAATTTAAGAGTCTTAAATTCTACCTTTTACAGATTTTAGGAGCCTAATTCTGTGCTGCCAGTGTGGGAGGAATGAAATATCTCTCATATGTCTGTGTCACCACTATTCCCAGAAAATGCCCCTTCATAAAGGCCTCCTTCAGAATTAAGGCAGGGTTATTTCTCTCTCTGAAAAAGCTGGAGAGCATGGCAGTGCTCTCTGCTGTGCCTCCTCTCAGCAGTTGAAGAAGATGCTCTGGCTGTGGGATGTCCCCATCTTTCTCTCAGGGAATCTAGCTCCATACTTCCACCTTCCCAAACGCATGAACTAGCCACACTATATTATTCATTTACCCTCTCAGTCATTCACCCGCTCCTGCAACCCCACTTCGCCACTGAAGCTACACCACCACGTAGCCTAACATAAAACGCATGGGGACACAGAATAAGGACATTTAAGGGACTTAAACGCACTAGATCAGAAATGATGGCAGAGAGGAACTTCCCAACCCCACAACCCTTAGACACTTTTTTTTTTTTCTTTTTAATATGAGCAGTTTGAGGAACCAAAGTGCTACAAGGAACTGCTGATGCTGTGCACGTCTCTTATACGCTCACAAAGTATGTGTGGCAGCTCTGGCCACAGGCACACAGTGGATCTAGTCCAAAGCCCATGGCCACTGATGCGAAAACTCCCCAGGAGGACAATGGATTTTGAACTAAGCTCAAGAACTCCAAGTCAATGCTATTTTGACTCCTCTTCCTTCCCCAGTGAGTTTTAGGACCACCAGTGCTGCTTTTGCTCTCTTTCCCCGGGATGGGATACAATAAGACCCCTCACATTTGGTTCAAGATAGGTTTTTAGAGAACATTTTTAACACAGTACCAGGTTTTATATCTTAACTGACCATGTAAGCGTGGGGCAAGGCAGCTCAAGCCAGTTGTTGTTATGTTGCCCAGAATTTCACAAGGGGTGCCGCAGATGGTGACCGAAGTCTGCCCCGGGGAAAACCCAGTTCCACGCAGGTGAACTGTTCCTCCATTCAAGCCACCTTAGGAGAAAGAAAAGAAAAAAGAAAAAAAGAAAAGGAGACTGATGACAGAGCCCAACGGCCAGCTATCAGTAGGAATGGCCCAGTTAGAACTGAAGAGGACATTCACTTGAACATCACAGGTGGGTCTGCGTGGCTGGGTACACCCATCATATATTCAGCCTCTGTGCGAACTCCAAGCAGAGTTTGGAGTTTGCTAGCTCATACAGCACAAACATACCATAGTCTTCTTTCTTTTGTATCCATCCAACTTTAAGAAGTGACTACCCAAATATTGGAGCCCACTGCATAATCATCATCTAAATTTCAGCCAACGGACCTCCCCCGTGAGGTGACAGAAATCCAAATGATCTATTGTCTGCGTATTTTAAAAAGATAGAGACAGAGCCGATGGATAAGCAAATCACAGACCACTAGCTACATAATTCCAGCAAAGATTTCCTCCCATAATCTTGTGTATAAGAGACTGACTTCAGTATTTCTAATAACATGGGGTATTTTTTTAACTTACAATTTTTGCTCTCACATGAGCTACCCACAGTCATGGCATCCCTCCACACGGCTGAACACTGTGGAGGAGCTGCAACAGCCCATCGTGACTTACCCCAGTTGTGACGCACAGATGTCACTGATAGGTGAGAGAGGAACGTCAAGTTGGAGGAAGCCCAGCCCCTGGAGACATCCAGGCCCGACACATGGTACTCGCCAGCAGGGAGCGGAGGAGCTGAGCACTGCAAAGTAGACTGAGTGATGGTGATACCACTACAAGCAAGGTCCCCAACAAATACGTGGATGTTGTCCATCCTTGTGACCTGTGATACAGTCAGTGTTAAAAGCTGCCCAGTTGGCATAAGTGAAAGGAAAGCTGGGGTGAACTCCCCACTGTAAGTTATTCTTCCAAGATAATAGGTGATGCCATCTACTCTTAGCCTCAAAGCACTAGTCCCGTTGCCAGGAGGCACCGTGCACTGGATAGCTGTACAGGTGACATTGAGGACAAGACAAGGATGACGATCAATGAGAACAGAAGTCATGCTCTTTCCTTTCAGTGCTGAGCCTGCTAAGGTGAGCAGGCCTCCACCATTAGTACTGAAGTTTTCAGGGTAAAACTGGTGCACTTGAGGCATGACAGTGAGAACCTCGGATGCCCTTCTGAAGCAGGCTTGCCCACTTCTCCCATTGGATATGGAAATGTTGTGCTTCCCTGGGGCAATGCAGTCTATCTGGCACTTGATGCTGGTCTCATTGCAGAAAGTTACCTTGCAGACAGCCTGGTTGTTCACCTGTACCACAGGGCTCTCACTTAGCCATGCCAGTGTCTGTCCCTTGATCATCACATAGGTGAATGTCCCATTAGTCTCCCAGGTCACCAAATCTACAAGGGGCGTCCACTGCTCACGCAGGTGGAGTGTACAGTCTCCAAGGCAGACACTACTGATCCCATTGACAGTCACTGTGACATTAAGAGCCCCAGATGCCTCAGCCACCCTCTCATAAGGTAAAGGGTGGGCCCCTGGAAGAAGAAAACACCTAATGACGTTATTATCAGAGTTCTGAATCTCACAGGAATAGTTACCTTCCAGGCTCACCTGTACCAAATTCCTCCTGGATTTCAAAGCGGTACCAGATATAACGAGTACCATCCCACCACAAACTGATCCTTGTGTTGGGAATATGGACGTTACCCGTGGAGTTACTGTAAAGGACTGCAGCCTTGCTGCTACGTGAGCATATCCCAGCTGCCTCTGGATAACCCTAATGGGGTAAGTCCCAGGTTCCAGGTTGTTCAGCGGTAAGAAGCACTGAGAAAGCACTGCAGACTTGTTGCCACGTTGAAACTCAAGCTCACATTCACTGTCCCCAAGTCTAGCCACAGATCCAGTGATGTTTACCCCCCAGATGCTCAAGAGTAAGCTGCTGTCTGTGACCTCCGTTTCAACAGTAGTAATCAGAGGAGTCAAAGCCCTTTGATAATTGAAGACAGTGGTCCTCTTTGCAGAAGGAGCCTGTTGAAGTGACCTACTGCTGACGAGTACATTTACCCTGACAGAGAGGTCTTGCGAATCTTCATTAGACAAATTAGCCGCTGGTGGGGTCAGGCACCGAATGGTCTCTTCTGCCAAGTGGGTAATCACACAGGCTTGCCTATTCATTGAAACAGAAACCAAGGCAGGGTTTTGGCTAAAGCCCACTCCTGAGATTGTCAGCAGTGTTCCACCTAGGAGTAAAACAAACAAATGAAGCAGAAGGACATTATGCAGGAAAGGAACTAATGACTGCCTCTGAGAAATCACAAACCATGATAAATCTTATAAGCATGGCAAACACTCTTATCCACGCTAAACAGAAGAAGAAACTAGGTCTTTTTTTTTTTTTGGAGGGGGGAGGGGGGAACAAGATAGTTGGACACAATAGCAGTCACATAACAAGATAATCTTAAGAGAATAAGAGGCTAATGTATAAGATAACCAGGGACAAATGAGAGTAGAGGGCCGCCACAGACCTGAAGAACATCCCTGCAAGGAAACAGACACTGAACTTTTCAAGGAATAGGGCTATATAGAAAGGCAGGTGGGAAGACAGTAAAGGTGGCTATCTCCTAATCTGTGTTCCTGCTGCATACAGGGAAGTAGAACTCAGTGCTATTTCCAAGTTAAAAAGCCAATACCCTACAGCTTCTTTCAGTCTTGAATTCTAGCTGGACATTCAGGCAGAAATGCTTGTGCAGCAACCAGCTTAGTGTAACCTCCAAAATAATGAGTTGCTCTGAGGTTGCCAGCAGCACCATCAGATTTCCGATGCGCCCATGGTCACTTGCGCATGAGAAGGAGCTCCCTGACTACAGAAACTTGTATTGTTGAATGATCCCAGCCTTAAGCCCTCTCCTACCTACAGGCTCTCAGTCTGCACAGTTTAAAATGTGGATAGCAGAAAGGAGAAGAGAATAGCAGGTCCCTCACCACTGTCAAGGGCAACTCTGATCACGGCTTCCTGTGCATGGGCTGGAGGAAGGCAGGCTGTCTGCTTTCTGCTAGGAGTGCCTGAACTTTTTTCTTCCCTGGGCATGTACTTATGACCATGGCAGAGGACAGCAAATGGGTAAAGAGACTTTTGAAGTGCACCGGTAGGATCATTTGTGCGGAAGAGGAACTCACAAAGAGTTAGAAACAAAGTTATGACCTCTGTCTGGGGCTGTCCTTGTGTCTAATGTTGAAAGCTGGGAGAGTATCATAGAGAAGTATGATCGCACACTGCTTCATTCATATAATCTCCCTAAGGCATCTTATATTTGGAGCATGCCAGGAGAGAGTCCACCTTTAGTCTGATCCGGCTCAGTTGTTCTAGGATGTGCCCCGGTGGAGCACCCCTCTCCACTTTGACATGGGAAGAAGCCTTGTAAGGCTAGGCTACCAAACTGGGCACCAAGAGCAGAGGCTAATTAGCTGGGATAAGCATAAATCCAGATGTCTGGATTTATGTGACTGTGCAAGACAACAGTATCCCTTTCACCTACAGTGTTGAGAATAGCAGCAGCATTGAAGGAGTAGAAGGCCAGGTTTTAAGAAGCGTTAATGATAAAGATGCACATCCTTCAACATTCCCAACCTAATTCCAAGTGTCCAAGCTCAAGATGCCTCACTTAAAATCACCTAAAGTATCTCTCCATCTTCCTTTAGTTTACAGCATAGACACTCTCTGCGTACTGCCTTGCTTCAGGACTCTATCCATTAAGCCAATGAACTCTACAAAGGTTTGGCCGAACTTCTGATTTTGCTTTTTACATCTGCTGGAAGCACATGACCTTCTTTTTTCTATGATCTGACTGGAAAGTAAATTGTTTTATATCCAGGTTCATTTTCAGTGAGCTCAAGTGCCTGATCCATACGGCCATGCAAGTGTTAGAGACAACAAAAGACAAGTGATATGGGGTAGGAGAAGGACTACTGCCTTTTTTGCAGCCATGAGAACCTAAGTCAGCTTAAACCATTCATAAAACTAGAGCCAATGAGCTAATCAGTTGTTACTTAGCCTTCAATTTACCCCTAAAAATAAAAGAACCATAAAACTTTTTTTTTTTAACAGCTTAATCTTCAAAACTGAGAGCCTTTGCTCTCGAAGCTCTAAGTTCTCATCTTTCAAGGCTTGGGCACTTTACAAACTACTGAACTAATCATGTATCACAAAGCCTCTGAATTTTTGCATCTTTAAATGTGTCATGAGCCTGGGAGAGGAATCTGTGGAGGACGTGAGGTTACATCACAAGAATTTCTTTCTCCTCTATATAAAGTTTTCAAAGGAATCATGTAAAATTCACTAAATTAATTCCACTCTCTCCCACTCCCAGCCAAATGTTACTCTGCAAAAGACAAAATAAATGAACCCCCACATCTGTATTTTAGGTTTTGAAATGAAACTTTTGTTTTTAGTTCAGTGATATTTTGCTTGAACACAGTTGAATGTTGTGTTGAATGTTTCAAATGTTTAACAAATTTGGAAAGGGATTAATAAATATTTCAGTTTGGATTCAAATTAACATCGAGAAAGGTTTTTATCTTTTCAAGTTAACAAAAACAAATGCTCCCTTTGGGATCACCTGAAATGAATGTTTGCTTCAAACCGTGACCATACTCTACTATACACCTAACTTTGATGCAGAAAGCCTTGAAAGATGGAGGCGAAACGACTGAAAGATACAGCCAGATGAGTCAGTGGGTGTGCTTTGTGGGTGTGCTTTGTTTTTCCAGTGGGAACATGCAACGATAGAGGAGCAAGCGCTTGGGGAAATCATATTCAACGCACAGGGCCCCCGAGCCAGACAGCAAGGCTGAGGGATGCTCACTGCAATCCCACATTTCCAGGCTGCTGCTGCCTGCCAGTAGGAGTCTGCATAATAAAGGGTCACTGATTTTAAAACACCCTTGTTTAAACCAATGTGAAACAGGATGCCCGCTTCAGTCCTGCAGGGAAGCCACGTTCTTGATCCCTTTAACCTCCATAAGTGCCTGCAGATGTACTGGTGCTATTTACCCAGTAAAGAGCCACAACACGGCTCTATGCTGAAGATCTCGGAGACGTACTGGATTAACAGCTCAACCCTGTAAAACATAAGCAACGTAAGAGGTTTATTTTTTGTGTGGTTTTTGTTGTTTGTTTTCTCCTCTCTTTTTTCCCTCATACCGCTCTGCTATTCTTTCTTACACCCCCCTCAAGGATGGCAGGCCAAATGCTCACCTTGCACATCCACTTTGTTTCCCCCGTAACACAGCGATAACAAGACCTCATGCCCCAAGCTTTTTCCACGTGGTTTGAGCCACATCTCTTAGAAGCACCACTGCCACATCAAGTGGCAGTCTGTGGGCCAAATCCAGTCCATCAGGCACAACTGACTTCTGGGCTGGCCCATCTCCCTCCACTCACTACCCCAGGAGACACAGTGTCATTTCAGCTAACAGACTGCACTGTCAGATGGGATGAATTCGTGTGCATCATCCCACCTACCACAGGCTTTCTCCTCCTGACATTCATTAATGCAACAAGCTGTTTAGGGTTGTTTATGAGCAACATAAGCAGTTCCCTTCTCCCAAATGTCATTGTTTCAGGAGCATTCCTAGCAACTGCCATTGACAAGAGCCGTGCAGCTGAGGAGCAAAACTGTCTTGCTTGGGAATGAGCTGTTGTGCCCAACTTTCAGGTGGGTTCTATCCTATGTTTTAGTTCATTTATATTACATTTATCTAGGCACGAACTTGAAGTGTCACTTTAAAAGATGAGGATAGCATCATTTAAGAATTCTCAAAACAAAGCATTTTTTTATTTTTCAAACCATCCTTTGTTTTTCTCATGAAAACTGTTTCTTTTCTTCTTTTGTTTTCCTACAGCAGGATTTATCTGCATTTGACCTGAATTTGTGAATAGCTTTGATTACCTGAATATGCATTTTTCATCAAATCAGCTATTTTTTTTAAATGTTTCTCTCCTGCCTCCTACTGATCCAAGGGGAGTTAATTGACTAGCGCTAGCAGTTTGCTGACTTAGGTTCCACAGATCAATAAATACCTTAATAATTATTCACAATTTTATACCATACTGCAAATTTCACTGTTAAGTACAGCATTTGGGAAAACTTTACCTTTCTTGTCAGATTAACCCTAAAATACCGAATAAGACAGAGAATGAAATTCCTATCTTAAGAGAAATATAGGTATTCATATACCTATTTGAAGCAGCAACGACAACACCATTGATGAGGACAGAAACATTGTACCATCCTGCAGCCAGGGCTGGCAGCGTCACATTGACACCACGGTCTGTCTGTGTCTGAATTTGTGCCCACAAACCCCCAATTTGGATCTTGATATCTGACCCTTGGTAGCAGGCAAATGAGGATATTCCAATCTGGAGTTCCTGACCCCCTGCAGAAAAAAGAATGGATGAAGCAATTTCAGCATTTCCAGCAACAGTTAATTTAGCTTATGTGAACTTTTCCTGAGGAATGGCATGGAGTCCCAGAACTGGTCCAGTCATATCCATCAGTCAAAAACAAAAGCTGGAATACCACAATAGTTCTGTGCTCTACTTGCCCCTTGGCGTCTCCGATTAGGATAAAACAAACTGGTGATTGTCCACCTTTTTGTTTGTTTTTTTGACTTTTTTTGAGGTGTTAGCACTGGGAACTAGACTATGACCATAGCTAATCACTAGGCTGTGACTAGACTAAAGCCGATCACAGCCTACTGGTAGATGCTCAGGATTGAATCCATGCCCCTAACTGTAGCTGTCTAGCTTGTACATATCTACAGCTGATTAGAGCTGAATCCAGTCTTTCTGAAGCCCATATAAGTTGAAGTTGAGGACTTCTGGAATTTTTCTTAAATCCTTGACAATGATCCAGACCAGACCTTTCAGCACTGTCTAACAGTGGAGGTATTTAAGCTTAACAGGAACCTTCACAGCTGGTATGAATATTTCCTGGGGTATCTCAGTTTAGGTGACCATGCATGCTTCAAAGCACCTTGTTTTTATGAAACATGCACCTATCTCCCATTTAAGCTCTGTAGTGAGCAGAGTGATATTTAGATGATAAAGGATTCTTCCCCATACCTGTGCATCCTGGAGTAATACAAAAAGGATAAAGACAGCTGGGAATGGAATTCTGTAACCTAAATCCCTCCTGAAATAGCTTAAAAAATTAAGGTAGGAGGCATCATCCCAAATACAGGCATTTTCACTGAAATGGCTGTATCTGAAGTCAATGAAGAGAAACTGAGCCTTTATAGCATGAATTATCTTATTTTAAGGAAGACATCCAAAAAAGGTCAGGCAAATATGACTGTAGACCTGCCAATTACCCTTCACTGACTATACCAGACATCTAAGCTACCAACACAGAGAGAGATGTACTTAGGAGGTGAATCTCAACCTTCAATCCCTTCTGAAGAGTACAGGTTCAATTGCACAGAAGTAGGAATGCGTAGTACCAGAAGGGAGTCTTCAAGTTCAATTCCTTATTGTCATGGACAACAATGCTGCGTAAATCCCTATCCCAAACTGATCAAGAATGAGGTATAACAGCTCTTTAACAGCCTCCTGAACCAGCCAGCCCGAACTGCTAGTCTACCCACAGAGTTGCTCCAGAAGACCTGATGAAGATCATCTGTCCCAAAACAATTCAATTTTTGCCCATTCCTGCTCTTTGCTCTGCTCACCCCACTTCAAAAATTGACTAAGCTGAATGTGGCGCTGCTATCCCAGACACAGAGGGAGCTAATCAGGAGCAGTTAACCTGTTTAACACCTTACTAGAGATTCAGATCTGACTGGCAATTTTGTCTACCTTGACTTTAGCACAGCTTCTGTAGCAGGCACGGTCCCAGTTAGCACTCAGCACCGCAGCCTCGGCTTTACGGGGAAGCCTCTCCCTTACATGAAGCAGGAAGGGCTGTAAAAGCTCCTCTTGTCTGCCCGCTCCTCTAAGTAGATCTTGAAGCCAGTACTTCCCAATTCTACATGCACAAAGAGTCAAATAAAGTTTGAAAGTTTGAAAGCCTAGGAAGTTGAATATATTAACAACGTGAACTCTTTGGACTCTTGGTCAATTGTCAGCTTAATCCTAGATGCCTAGGAGGCATTGGTGTAATTTATTTATTCTTTTTATTATAGAGGAGGAAAATTATATTAAAAGATGAAGCCACGGAGGTTCTGAATAGAAGATTGAATGAAGCCTCACCACCGTTCATGAGACGCTATAACATTAAGGATTTCCATGCACCTGGGCTGCCCGCGGCTAGAAACATCTCCCCTTGGTGCTATCATATCTGAATAATATTCAGATGATAAAGGGCATTCTCTCTTATTTATGCATTTTGAAGTAATAGAAAATGACAAGGGCATCGGGGAAGGGAATAGAAACGCCAAATGTGCAGCAAGAAGTGCGTCTCGTCACAGGCACAGTCACCTCACCCCTCACATTGCCTTTAAGTTGGGCCAGACTGCTGAGTTGAGGAGAGCTTTATTAAGGTGTACACTGGAGAGTTTGGGAAAAAAAGTTGGGGGGGGGGGGGGGTTTTTATCGGGGGA